TTCTTCCAATGGATCCAGTTTAATTTTTTTTTTTTTGAGATTTCAATATTTTTCCAAGTCACTTCAAATAAATTCCAACCCTACTCGTTCAACTGACTACACTAGTCACACGAGTACCTTTTCCAACTTTCGCACTTATGTCAAGTTCGTAGTTTGGTTGAAAGATAACTCACCTTTATTGTGACATCCCCATTTTCACGGCCAGAAAAGACCGAATTTTTTTATGCTTTGTTAAAAAATCAGAGTAATATTTTAAATAAAAGAGTTGCGAAATTTGTTCCCAAAACAAAATTTGACAAAGATTTATCAAAGCATTTCCATAGAAATGTATTTCATTAACAAGACTCGGGATGTCATGTTCGATACAGATCAAAAGCATAAACAGTACAACATAAGCCTTACTACATTATTTCGTATTTACAGGCCTAAAATCCCTTATCTCTCATCCAAACATCTATGCTCATGCGTCACTACCTGTAATACAAGAAACTGAGTGGGTCAGGCTTGGGAGCCTTGTGAGCACATAGGGTTTTCAACCCACAATAAATAAGTTTATTAACTTCATCAAACCAATTAAACCCGATTACCCCTTCCCGTTATCCTCACTTTATGTCCCTAAAACATCTAACACAAGGGACCTAGTCTAAGGACTTTCATCGGGGTGACAACACATGCTTCGGGGGTTCCTCAGCAATTCATGTCAAATAAGGCAACCATGTGGGGGATGGAGTACTACTGATGAGCACACAGTTCAAATAAACACCTACAGGTTGCGAGCCTGCTAGCGTTCCACTGGACTGTCTAGAATAGTCCGTGGTCGTCATCTATACTCTGCTAGATGAGTAGATCATCAATAACATCTATAACGAGGCCTTTCATTATTTTATTTTGTCACACAGGAACTATTACATCTACCCATGTTTTACCCAACACATTTTGTAGATATAAAATACATATACAGTTTAAATCATTTAAAACATGTATAAAATCGTTCATCCAGCATAGATAGCAAGTATACAGATCGTATGCACACGTAGCTCGTAATTTATATAAAATACTTCATATCTATGTGTAAGATGAAAGTAACTATGCACTCACTTGATTAGGTGGTGACACTGCACTTGGACAGCACTTCGTTACTTTTAAAACAATTTCCTTCGACAAAACCTAGTATCATTACCACTAGGGTTTAGTCTAATATTTACCTAGTATCATTATTACTATTATATAAGCGTTAAGCAACACTCTTATATAACTCATAATAATAGCCCAAATAATTATTTTAAGGTCCTAATAATGTTACTATAATTAATTAGAAGCTATATTAAAAATAGCATAGGCGTAGCTTACTTACAGCGGGTTTTCTTAAAAACTGAGCTTCGCTTGGAGCAGCGTTTCTGAACCGAAAGACCATTTTTCTCGAGACTCCGAGAGCCTCGGGGCTGCCTTCGGGTGCTAGGGGGTTTACCTAGGCTTAGGGGTGGTTAGGGACCTTAGAAAGAGAAAGAAGTTAGAGAGAGAAGTGGAAAATGTGTGATTTCTTCGGCAGCCCTCGCAGCCTATTTATAGGTGCGAGCCTTCGGTTGTACGCTGGGCATACAACAGCACTACGCGGGGCGTAGTTCGGATAGGGACACCAGTTGGCTTCGTACGAGGCATGTGGCAGGGTTTCTATGGTGCGACGTGGGCGAAGCTGGACCGAGGAAGGGACAGGCATACGCGGCGCGTTGCGAGATCGGACACTGGGCGTATCGAGATGCGATGTGTCTTCATCCGAAGCGAGTTCTGAGACCATCATCGAACGGCTGTGGTTCGGCCACCTCACCATCTTCGCAACAGGTCTCACAAATTTACTTTCCAACTTCTAAAAATCATAACTTTCACATACGAGCTCCGTTTTCGATGTTCTTTATATCCACGCGTAGGCAGGAACGTACTCTAGAACTTTCGTTTAGACTCTGTCGGCTAATTTTGACTTTATTTTAAAAGTTATATTTTTAACAGGCCGGGACAGGATTGGTCCGTTAAAAATTCATAACTTTTTCATCTGACGTCCGTTTTCGTCTGTCTTTTTATCGTTACACTATTATTAACGAGATATTCGATTCTCTTTTAGGTTGTGTCGGTTAAAAACCGCTCGATCTAATATTCGAACTTCGGGCTGTACACTGCTAAGCTGAAACTTCGAAAAATCATAACTTCCTCATACGAAGTCAGATTTGGGCGTTCTTTTGATGGATGCTCTTGGTTTAACATATTCTACGACTTTCTTTTAGATCGCTAAAGATAAAAGTCGCTCTATCGTAAATTCACTATTTACGCCTCCCGGTGTCGTGCCGGTTCCCTCGTGAAACTTCGACGGGTCATAACTTCTTCGTTATAACTCGGATTTCGGCGTTCTTTATATCCCTGTAATCCTTGTTTCGACCACTACAACTTTATGTAAAGATATCGGGCTTATCTCACACTTTAATTTTGACGCTTATTTTTATTCTTTATTAATTATAACTTTATAATTAAGTATAAACCACATAAATTCACATAATACTCAAATAATTCATCTTTATTACTGCAAAAAGAGTTACAATAGTTGACCTAGACTATTACATCATCTATTAATGCTTAGCCCCGAAACGTGGGCATTACATTTATAAGCCTTATTAAAAGACGTCTTTCAGTGTTTCTCATCAAACATTTGATTGTATTCAACAGGAAACCACACAGACACTTCTTAGTCTCTCTTGACTATGAGGAAAGAGATATTTGCATGGAATCAATAGATTTATGTCTCTAGTTAGACATCACAACATCCCCCAGATAAACTTCATTTTATTTCTTTTTCTTTGACACTCTTGCACGAAGATCCTAGTGATTTTCCAAAGGTCTAGTTCGTGGTTACAAATAATTTTCAGGTTCGTAGTTGTATGACTTCAACATGCTTTCTCTATTACGAAAGGAGATGAGCTGACACGACAAGTTTTAAAAGATAAGAATTCAAACGAGCGCGTGCAACGTTGAACGGACAGATATTGATACGTCGTGTAACGCCGCGTGACGGTTTCATATTTCTTTACCACTTTCAAAATCTCTCAACGATTTCTGGCGATTACAAAGCTCTCCACTATTCATCTTCTTCTTCAAGCTTCATCAATGACCGCTTCATCTGAGAATCTTTCTGTCCAAGACCAAACTGCTCATTCATCCCTTCTGCCCGTTAAGCAACATCAAAACCTCATCATCCATCTGGATCCAATTAAGTATGATCCCTTTCTTCTACCTCTTATTGAGTGCCTGAAATACTCCCCTCTCACCATTGCTTTGTCTCAAGTTGAGAATGTTCCACTATCGATTCTCTCCAAAGCATACACAACGGCCAACTATGTCAAGGCAGAACAACGTATATACTTCGACATCCATAATCATACAACCCCGATTTCCAAAACTCGTTTCTGCAATCTGTTAAGGCTCCCTCAGTCTGAAAACTTGGTCAACCCGGAAACCATTTCCAATGCTGCTATCTTGGAAATGTTTTATCAAATGGGGTACAAGGAAACTCTCACTGCTGTTTCGAAGTTCAACAAACCCAATCTTCCACCTACATGGAACGCCCTATTCACTATCTTCTTCAAAGCCTTTTCTGAAAGGGTCACTGGCAACGATCGTGCGAGCAAGCTCTTCATTGGTCTGATGTATGGCCTGTATACTGGTCAGAATGTTGACTATGGTTCTATCCTCTGGGCTCAACTTATCCAGAGCACTCACTCTTTTACTCGTCACCGTGAGATCTCCTGTGCGAGATTTTGAAACGTCGTCGTTAACAGAGCAATTCAGCAGCTCAAAATTCCATTAACGTCTAATGCACTGATGGCTTCTATTGCAACATTCCATATAACTAGTATCATTGTCGCTGATAAGTAAAAGTTTTCCTTCATTGGCTCGATTCCGGAAGCTATGTTTCGTGATGTTCCGCCCTCTAGTAAAATTCTAGAAGGTTATCGCGCTCTTACTCCTTCAGGACCTTGTCCATTAACTGACACATTCCAAGCAATTTTGGCTGAGGCAGATAAAGCCAAGAAAGGGGGAAGAGGGTCAAAGAAAGCTACCAAGAAAGATACTGCGAAAGAAGGACCTTCAGAGGCTGCGAAACCTCCCTCTAAAAAGCGAAAGGCTCCTGCTGCTTCTACTGCTGCACCAAAGCGAAGGAAGCAACCCGCTAGAAGGCGAAAGTCTCCCACTCCTACTCCATCTCAGAGTGAAGGAGAAAATTCTGATTCCGATACAGAGTCAGAGATTCGCATTGAGGATGATCCCCCAGTTCATAATGCAGAAGCAGAACCCGTTCGTACTGAAGAACTAGAAGCCATTCGCAATGAGGAAGGAGAACAGATTCACAACGAACCACCTGTTCGCACTGAGGCCTCATGTCCGATTCGTGAGGTAACTCCACCACTTAATGATTATGTTCTTTCTCCACCTCCCTCACCAAAAACAACTACTTCTATCCCAATCACCATCGCACCTCTACCACCACCAGTATAATCTCAACCACCACATCTATTCCAGTCTAAATCCCGATTTTCACATAATCCACCATTTTGCCCCACACCTCTGTTGCACCTGCAAGTTCAGTCAACGTATCTGATACGGGGGCTAACATTTCAGGTTTTTCAAGCCATGTTACACCACCCATCTATCCCATTCGCACTGATGACCCGAAAATGATTTTTGCAGATGATGAAGATGATGATTTGGACGGATTCGCTTACAGTCCTTTTCAAATAAGGATTGACAGTGAAGATGAAGTCTCTACTATGAAAGGGGAACTCAAATCTCTTCATGAGAAGATTGACCAGCTGCTTCTTGCATCTAAAGTCTCCACTTTTGAGGCTTACTACAAAGCTGATGTTGAGTCAATCCTTGAGCGCGTTACGAAGGAACATACTGCTAATGTCTCTACTTTTTCCACGGTTGTTTCTGACTCTACTGATGTGTGCAAACAAATGACCGAAAAAGTCGATAAACTAATTGCTGACACAATAGAATTCATGGAGGATGACAAGAATACCTACAACGTCAACACCGCGACTACAAATAAGGCTATTCAGAATATCGGTGCCATATTCCAAGCGGAAAAGGCGAATTTTGCATATCTTCGCGAGCTGTTTCAGTCTGATCATGAAGCATTCCAGTCTTCTATCGCTGCGAAAATCACAAAGCTTCAGGAGGATCTGGCGACAGAAAACAAGATCATGGATGCTCTCGCCATCAAGGAGGAAAAGTGTAAGGTGTTGTAAACCAAGCTTCACTACACTGAAAAGCAGGTCGATGATTTGCTAGCAGAGAAGGCAGTCACGAGAAGTTGTATCTCCGACGTTACTGGACTACTCTCTGCCATGATTTCAATAACAGTAAGGAAGCATTTGGCTGAAAAGCTAATACCGGTGTTTGCTATGTTACACCGTTTGGAGGGTGTTTCGATGCCGTTTTCCTTTCTAAAACAAGGGGGAGAAAGCTCCAAAGTTCAAACGAATGAAAGCCCCAAAGCTCCAAATGAACCTCCTATCATCAAGCCAGAACCAAAGGGAAAAGAAAAGCTATTCAATGAAGAACCCATTATTGATGATAGCGAAGACGAAGAGCCTGATGAAGCTGAGCTCAAAAGGCGGAAGGCTCGTAAGGCAGAGATAGACGAACATGCTCACATTATCAAAGAGGCAGAAGAGAAAGAAAGAGCCGAAAAGGAAGCTCATACCACTCTTAAAAGAAAAATGTTATTATTTCCTAAGTGGACCCTGAAGCGCTTTCAAAATCAAGCCGTGGATATGCCAAGTCAGTATTGGTTAGATCCGATTGCTTCCTTTGACATCCAAAATACACAGGATTCACAATTAGACCTTCCTATCACACCAAAGGCGTTCAGGTTTCGTGCCTTTGTAAAGGTTGCCAATGTACCTTTCACAGACATCATTGCGGATCAAATGTTGTTTGCCTTCTACTTGAAGCACATGAAGCCCCAGTTCGAGACTTGGAGTGCGTGCAAAATTGTTGCTATGAAGGTCACTGGGCCGATCGAGACCGAAAGCTTCCCTAATGCAAAGTTTAAAGTTGCGAGAGGATCAACATGTCAAGCCTGCGAATTCACTCTCACACACCTGCCTTACTTGAACCCCCATGAGTGGATGGTGCTATTTAATATTCTGTTAAGAGAGAAGGAGAAGTACGAACCTGTGATGTCCCATCTTCAACTTTTGATCAGGTCTTATATTCAGGAAGTTGGAATGATGGATGTGGATATTTCCACTGTTTTGAGGCAGAAACCAAGTGTTGTTCCAAAGGAAGCTCCAAAAGACTGCGAGAAGCTCAAGCCAGGAAAAATTTACAAGGAAGGATGGTTTGTGTTATACACGTATAGAGATCGTCCAGGAGCAGATCGACGCAAGTTATACTTTCATCTCGAAGACAAGCATTTATTTACTACTTCTTATCTGGAGTTTATTTTGGAGCTGGTTGCGAAGTTTAAGGGCAACAACAAGGATACGTAAAGTGTTTCACGGATGTGATCACTTGTTATATTCATGTTCGCAAGCTGCTGTTGAGCTTCATTCCCAAAGTCTACGAAGTGCAGAAGCGAATCACGAACTAAATGGCTATGGTATCAATTGACGCAAAGGGGGAGATTGTTGAAGATTTAGTGTTGCGTCATTGGGCTTGTTTTGTCTAGTCCATTTTGTATAAACGAGTTGGGCCTGTCCACTCGTATTTCTACTAGGGTTATAGTATATAAGGTGCATTCATGCTACGTATTTTAGTTAACTCTCATAATTATCATTGTAACCCGATTTTAAGCCTCTACAGAAGCAATTCTTTATCGAGTTCTTCTGAGGCGTGACTATTAATCATTCAGCACCAGTTTGATCATATCGTGTTCTTGTTTACCTATTTTTAATCTATTCGATCATTAAGGATTTATTCCCATCATGGGGAATTAAACAAACTTACCATTAAAAACCAATACCCTTTACCACGGATAGATGACCTCTTTGATCAACTCCAAGGAGCTAGTTTCTTCTCCAAGATTGACCTGAGATCAGGATACCATGAGCTACGAGTCCAGGAGGCTGATATTCCAAAGACTGCTTTCATAACTTGTTACGGTCACTACGAATTCGTAGTGATGCCCTTTGGTCTAACGAATTCACCCGCGGTATTCATGGACCTGATGAATCGAGTGTGTCGACCTTACTTAGAAAAGTTCGTTATAGTCTTCATTGACGATATACTAGTCTATTCTCAGAGTAAGGAACAACACAGCCAACACTTGCGACAAGTTTTAGAAACCTTAAGGGCAGAGAAATTGTACGCGAAGTTCTCAAAATGTGAATTCTAGATTCGAAATGTGGAGTTCCTAGGTCATGTAGTCAGCAAGGATGGGATACATGTTGACCCCTCCAAGATCAAATCTATCGAAAATTGGACGACCCCACAAACCCCAACAGAAATTCGTCAATTTCTAGGTCTCGCTGGCTACTACAGGAGATTCATTCAGAACTTTTCAAAGATCGCAAAGCCACTCACCAACTTGACCCAAAAGGGTGTGATATTCAAATGGGAGGAGAAACAAGAAACTGCTTTCCAGAAACTAAAGCAAGCTCTTTGCAGTGCTCCGATCTTATCCCTCCCTGAAGGGACAAAAGATTTTGTAGTTTACTGCGATGCGTCCAAACAAGGGCTAGGCTGCGTTCTTATGCAGCGTGGAAATGTTATATCTTATGCCTCGAGACAGCTTAAGAATCATGAAGTCAACTATACCACACACGATCTCGAACTAGGAGCAGTGGTTTTTGCTCTAAAGATCTGAAGGCATTACCTATACAGTACAAAATGCACAGTCTTTACTGATCACAAAAGCCTCCAGCACATCTTTGATCAGAAAGAACTCAACATGAGACAACGACGATGGGTAGAACTACTAAATGATTACGAATGTGAGATTCGTTATCACCCCAGCAAGGCCAATGTCGTAGCATATGCCCTTAGTCGAAAAGAGTACTCTGGCCGCCGAGTAAAGTCTCTGACCATGACCATCCATTCCCACCTATCCACACAAATCAAGGAGGCTCAATTGGAAGCCTTGAAACCTGAGAACATGACAGGTGAATCCTTAAGGGGAATGGAAAAGAACTTGGAAATCAAGGACGACGGAGTTCGTTATCTCATTAATCGAATCTGGACACCGAAGTTTGGTGGTTACAGAGATGTTTTCATGAATGAAGCCCATAAAACTAGATACTCCATTCACCCGGGTTCAGACAAGATGTATATGGACCTTAAGAAACTCTATTAGTGACCAAACATGAAAGCTGAGATTGCGACTTATGTGGGCAAGTATTTAACTTATGCTAAAGTCAAAGTAGAATATCAAAAGCCCTCAGGTTTACTTCAATAACCAAAAATACCTGAGTGGAAGTGGGAACGGATTATAATGGATTTCATAACCAAGTTACCCAAGACAACGGGTGGTCATGACACCATTTGGGTTATTGTCTATAGATTAACCAAATCCACACACTTCCTGCTAATAAAAAGAAACTAATAAAATGGAGAAATTAAAAATGACGTACCTTAAAGAAATAGTACAATTGCATGGTGTGCCAATATCTATTATCTCTAACCGATATAGTAGATTTACCTCCCGATTTTGGCAATCATTGCAAAAGTCCTTGGGAACAAATCTTGACATGAGTACAGTGTACCATCCTCAGACCGATGGACAAAGCGAGAGAACTATACAAACGTTGGAAGACATGTTAAGAGCATGTGTGATAGATTTTGGTACAGCTTGGGACACGTATTTGCCAGTAGTTGAATTCTCCTACAACAGTAGCTATCACACTACCATCAAAGTTGCACCCTTTGAAGCTCTCTATGGTCGTAAGTACAGATCTCCTCTGTGTTGGGCTGAAGTGGGCGATACGCAACTAGCCAAGAACCAAGTAACCGACAGTACTCTAACCGGTCCCGAGATCATTCGAGAAACCACAGAAAAGATTGTACAAATTCGGGAATGATTGAAAGCTTCTCGTGATAGGAAGAAAAGTTATGCGGATAAACCCTTGGAATTCCAGATTGGTGACCACGTCTTGTTAAAGGTCTCACCCTGGAAAGGAATGATACGCTTTGGCAAAAGTGGAAAACTGAGTCCAAGGTACATCATACCATTTGAGATTATTGCTAGAATTGGTCTGGTTGCTTACAAACTCAATCTACCGCATGAACTCAGTAACATTCATCCCATTTTTCATGTCTCAAATCTCAAAAAGTGTTTGTCCGACGAGACTCTTATTATCCCACTCGATGAAATTGAATTAAACGAGAGTCTACATTTTGATATGTGCATATTTAGCCATGTATTTAGTATAGATTTTCATTATTTTTAGCTAATTATTTACATATTATGGACAAAAGGTACTTAATAGTGTTCAAATTGTATTTTCAGTCCAAAAGATATGCTCGGAAGCAAAAGGAAGAAGGAGAAGCAGTTGGAAGTTCAGGAGTTGAAACAAAGAAGAAAAATGCCAAAAACAAGAAGGACTCGGCGAGTCAAAGCCTGACTCGACGAGTTGGATCGAAGACTCGTGAAGCTCTAGAAGTCCTTGCCGTACATGGATTTTTAATGAGGGACTCGACGAGTTGAGACCTTGACTCGACGAGTCACCTCTGTTTCCAGAAAAATATAAATAGGGACTTTGAGATCGAGATGGGGACTTTTCTGGAACCCTAGGAGGCTCAGATTGCGATTGAAGGTACTGCTAGACCGACAGAAGCTGAGGAATCAACCCTATGTTCGATTTTGAAGAGGATTAAGGCAAATTCTAATTCATTCTTAGTTAAGCTTTTGATTGAATCATGTTTGAACTAATTGAATTCGTTTTTGAGTTTGTTTTTACTGCAATTAGGAACTAAAACCTTTGTCCTCTGTTTAGGTTAGATGATTTTGTGAATATGGATTGATTTTATGGTTAGAATTAATTTTAATTGGTGATATAGTTTTGCTAAGCTTGTTAAAGAACCTCATAGATTAATAACAACTATTTTCTGTTAATAAATCAGTAATTAAGTTGTATGAACATCTCTTAGTTATTAATTTCATATGATTGATGTGACCATATACTTATATGTCTAGGAATAACGAATGTGAAACTAGAATTAACTAGAAAATAGGTAAATTAATACGTGAGCTTGTGTGATACACCATCAACAAGAGGTTAATTGAATCACCAATTCAATTAACCAT